GATTGCTGGTCGTCTAAAGTGCTCATCATTTTGCGTTGGTTGGGCCATGAGTGGCCGGCGTGTGACTCCGTTTCTCAGAAGGTAGATGTATACTCGTCTCAGTTGATTCGAGTGGGTGAGGTTCTGGAGAGGTTATCTGCGTTCCTTTTAAGTGACTGGGATCAGTTCAGCCAAGGGGGTGATCCGCGTGTGTTCCAAGGTAAAGGGGTTTCGCTTTGCAGGTATCATAACTGGATGGGCTCCCCTTCACCAGCAAGAGAGGGCTCCGATCCCACAGGCTATTTGCGTGTTTATTTGCCGGTCAACCAGTTGCGTATGGTTGCCAAATTCCGTCTTTGTTGTTGGCCTTTGGAGGTCAACAAAGGACACCATAGGCCGAGAGAGTGCCGTACGTGTCAGGTCTGTACGTCGGGTAAGGTTGAGGATGAATATCATGTGCTCATGGAGTGTGAGGCGTATACTGAGTTGCGTAATAGGTTTCTGATTAACGTTGAAGATACTGATATGCGCAAGGTATTTCTTAATACCAATCCGAGGAAAATCGCTACTTTCCTTACTGAGGTTTTTGATGAGCGTCAACAGCGTGCTCTGGAGCCTCACGGCTCGTGAGGGCACCCGCCGCGTCGGCGGCGGAAATACTGTAACCACAACAACAACACACTTCCGTGTAAGCAACTCATTACGGCTTATGACCCCTTGTGGCGTGCACCTAGCATCTCACCCGGCTTGTTAGAGATATGGGATTAGCTCTTGGTGTTGCTCAAGCATTTCGCGTGTATTTGCTTTCATTACGGCTGTCTGCGTATTACCTTTCTCAATTCCACTAGGTGTATGTTGCGCAGTGAGCGTAACCTCCTTGTTTTGGTAGATTGCTTTTCCTCCTATCCGCTTTAAGGGTGAGGACAGGGATATTTATCAGGGTTGTCGAGTTGTAGCTCCTGTCGGGACTGACGGGAAAGGCGACCGGGCAGCCTGGTGCTCGCGATGTTACTGGGTTTGTCCGAGCAAGGGTTTTTGTCAGCACAAGCATTTGTAATTATGCAACAGCCCCCATGCGCCCACCTTCGCATGGGCTCCCCTGCGCACAGGTCGATAATGGTAGGTATTCGCATTTACACATCCTCGGAAATTGGGGTTACCTACGTTGATAGTGTGCCGTATTGATTTGAAGCAAGCCTTGGATAGGTTCTGTTGAGGTTTCTTATGGCCATGATGTCACAGGCATGTACGGTGTGCATGTCTTGGCGGTCATTCAACAGCGTTCCGAAGTGATTGTCCATAAGGCTGACGGCTTCTGGCCAGCTCAGAGTGATTCCCGTCCCGTCTACAGGGTGTGCTAAACAAGGCTGCTGCCCATTTATCACTACCTTACTCATCGAAGCTTTGGCTGGCTACACCCCAGCTTGCGGTCCAAAACCTGCGTAGACCTACAGTTACAGTTACAGGGTCCTCATACTACCAGTCTACTTACCAAGTACGCTATTTTGAGGACCAACACGACGGCCTCTACTCCAGATGCGGCTCTCGGGGGGGCGGTTTGCAGAGAGTTGGTTACAAAGGTTGCCAAGCAAGAGCGCGAAAAGGAAAGATGGAGCCATCCCGTAACGCACATACACCCACCCAAGGCTTACACTAAAGCGCAGGGCTCATCAGTCAAACAAGGACAGGAGCTCATAATATGGGGGGACTCGAACAAAGGACGATGGGCAAAAAGCCCAATTCCTGCGCTCAGGACAGGCCCAAAAAAGCAAAAAGCGACGACTACGAAGAAATAAGCAAAGGGAAGAAGACCTCGGACACTGGGCTGCAGGGAACTGGGGAAGACAGGCCGACACAGCGACTGCAAACCGTCCCAAACATGCTCCGAACATGCTCCAGGCACTTGCAAATCACGACTTGCTCAGAAGTCGACCTGTGCCCACATACGGCGGGCGTATGTGCCTTTCCATCAGAACGCTTATATGGCCTTATACGACCTTGTGGAGCCTGGGTTGTGTTGCCATCCGATACTTTTACTGTCAATAAATTTAAACATCATTTGCATTGATCATCGCCATCACAAAGAAAAGAAAAGACAGTCCGTGTACGAACCAGCTCAGCCCCATCCGCATCAGGGTTGCACGCACATCCACGCCCATCCATAGACCACGCATGGAAGCTAGGCACGCGCACGCATGGCTGGCTTCCGCCTGTGCCAGGTCATGCATGGTAGACGAGGGTATTACTAATGTACGACACACAAGCACGCACTCGTACGCACGCTCATGCACACACGCACGCGCGCACGCACACACGCCCTACTCACACGCACACGCAGATACGCAGATACACAACGCAAATAGACGCACATACACGGCGAGAGGCGCAGTAGTGTTGCGTCCTAGCACATACGCAGACACAACATGAAAACACGCGATGATACAAGCATAGAATATGCCAATATTGAAGAGCTACAACCATCATCCAATAGAATCTTATCAACGATCAAAACATAAATTTTTATGTATATACTTCTTCGAGCTTATTTAAAAGATCAATTCCAGCCTCTAACTTATAATATTGAGTATGCACCTACAGCGCGCACTCACAGTGAGCAAGCTGT